TGAAACACTACAAAAAAAAGTGTCAAAAACGAAGAGGGCAACGCCAATACAAGGCTTACTGCCCATTTGATACTAGTTTGCAAACGAAGAATAAAAGCAAAGATTATTTTATAAGAACTTTTGTTCCAGAGCCAGAATGAAATGTTTTCAGCAGGACCGGTAACGACACATACTATTGGCTAATATTTTTATTACTATCGTCTATGACGCTTTATATAGTGAAACATTTTGTTGTGTACTGCCTTTACTAGATCAGGCCAGTACTTTTTGGAGAAGGAACTTATTGAGATTATCCAAACCCTGGATAGCTATGGTATAGTTCACCTTGTGGCTAAGAAATTTGCGTGTAATCAGGAGATGGGGCTTTAAAGCGTGACTGGTTCTTTAATCCAAAAGAGACGGTTATCTTGAGACATTATTGCCTTTTTTTCTTCCAAACTCTCGAGATTTTGACCAGATCACCGCAAGAAGTTTCTGATGAGCATTTTGAAAAATCTCCAACTAAAACATAAGGTGAACACAAATCATATCACAGCGAATGAGCATAACAACATTTTAAATTTTAAAAGCAAATACAGTTATGTACATATATCTTCAGGTATTTCAAGGGTAAACAAATGCAATATTCTTGGTGAGACAAAGTTCCAGATACGATTATGGCATGTACAGTCCTTTTCTTCCGTTACGAAAACACAGAACGCTACGAAGCAGGGCCTGCTAAACCCCCGCACACACACAAAGTTGTCTACATTTGCTAATACATAAGAATTTGTATCAGTAAGTCACAGCCAAATAAAATCATACTGTAAATAAAAGCATACATATTACATTACCATGGACAAGTGACATCCCAAAATGCAGCGTTTGTATAACTGACTTGTGTAGTCAATGCTTACTAAAACTTGTAACGCTATCTTTTAAGCTCCTGTCATTGGTAGGCCTACTATGTTTGACATAGTATTTGTTGCAGTTGTGTATTATATTTGTTACTGTTCTCTGATTTCTTTTTATTACAGATTTTATAGTATCTTTTCAATGCATCTTGTCAATGTTTTTGTTTGTTTATGGATGTTTTAGTCAAACGCACTGTAAACGCAGAAATCGAAACAAGGCCCGCAATCCTATTGTCATCAGAGTGTTTGGAATCTGTTGCAGCCATGGTAAAAATTAGTAGAACCTATCCCTGAACCTCTTCCCTAGTGGCATTGGAACATAATATTGGAGACACTTGTCTTCTGGGACTATGAGTACATGTAAATGATTGTCTAAATGAGCAAAGTAAATCCACCAAAACTGCTGACACATAGAAACAATAAACATATTCTCACAACTGCAATCGACCCAACTTTAAAGAACATGCTCGCAGCCAGACACATGTCAAATGACGCAAACGAAACATGTGAAGTTGCGTTCTCAGAAGAACATCCGCAGACGTGCCGTTATCCTCACGTTCACATTGGTTGGTTGGACTCCCAGCCCCCCAATGTTGGCCGATAAACACATGGTTTGAGTTCACTTAGAAGGGAGGCGACTCGTGAAGGATGCAGTCGCCATAAACATATTACTTACGTGTTCCTTTAACACTAGAGGTGAAGCATTTTTAACCTGTCAGCTGTACTTCATAGAGCAGTGGTAGTAAGTGGTGGTAGCTGTTTGATCAAGTAAGCGGCCCCCTTGCCGTTGCCATGTTGTCCACTGTATCAGCTGCACATTTTGAGATGTAAGTCGGTTTATAGGCTATCGTTATTTCCCCGTTACCTCAACGTCATGAGCGATGTTGGGGTGTCCAATCATTCCGAGACGCCCTTTTGTATTGTGTAACAGAATAGTCAGAATGTGGAAACCACAATTCCTATTACTCGTGACAGCTTGTCAATTTATGCTCTTCCAACGATGTAGTGAGAGTATAACAATAAGCCCAGGGGAAACATAAATAACAACGTATCAACAAATCAACAAAGCAATGTATGTGAAGTCGTAATTCCACAGTAACAATGTGACTCCGCTATAACTGGGAGATTCCATCGTCAACAGAGTAATGCTCCCATTTGACCTTCCGAACGCAGTGTCCCCATCTGGATGTCCAGATGATTATTATCAGTCTTGATATCCAGGCTACAGTGGCGTGGCTCCATTTTGATTTTCAGAAGATATAGTCCCAGTCTTGGCATCCAGAATGTGGTTACAAGATAAACTTCATTATCTACATCTAGATTGATCAAAACTGTGGAGCCTTCGTTTAGATATCTATAATGCTGTAAGCTTTGAGACTGGATAATACTATGTAGATAATCCAGAGCCCGATCAAGAAGACAGAGGAGCCAACGCGTGTGATCGTACGCTTTCCTCCCAGCTCTCCGCCCATGAACTGTCCAGGAAGATACACAGAAGAAATAATATATTAATAATAAATTTTACATATAGTATATATATTTCGCATTTCCATTAAGAATGTGCTTGATGTTCTTCATAATAATACAAATGAAAACCCAAAACAAATACGAGCACCATAATATTAATATGCTTTCAACAGCGATCCTTTCTCCCCATATCTCTCTCTCTCTCTCCCTCTCTCTCTCTCTCTCTCTCTCTCTCTCTCTCTCTCTCTCTCACACACACACACACACACACACACACACACACACATACACACACACACACACACACAAACACGCGCGCGCGCACTCACACACATGTACACACACACACACTTCACCACACACATAGTTGAGTACAGAATAGAATAATATGCAGTTTTGCACATAATTATGCCCCTCCCCACATACACCATACATACAGACAAGCCGACACACACTCCATAGGATACACAGATTGGTTTCAAACAATTCTTTCCGCTTAATATGACAGCCTTGCCTACCTCTATTGAAATGACAGACTGCGGCACTCTTGGCTCCAATCAGAGCACCCAAGCTGGGGTTTCTCAGGGTCACAATGAAGTTTTTAGCTTCCTACAGCATGAGGAGGACACAAAATAATACATATGACATAAATATTCGACACATGCTGAAAACATTACATTTGATACTACACTGCCCTATCTAATAGACCATAGGGGGATCTTGTGATAAGTATGATACTTGGAACAGTGGAAGAAGAGTTTCACCTTCACAATACGCTACCTTAGATTGAAAAAGTTCTGACATTTTTTGGCCGTTTTAAGTTAGCACAGTCATGAGGTCAAAAACCGAATACTCTGTCGGCTCAATCAAAACCATACGATTATTGGAAGTCGTGATCGATATATTCAAAGAATTGCATTTTTAAAAGGTTGACACATTGTGAAACTCAAGATTTTTTACGTTAAATTTCCCAAAACTAAGCACTAAACAGATAGAGCTTTGTAATTCTAGTGTAGCCAATAGTCTGATTCTAGTATGGTAGGTAGAGTGCCCAACCCAAAAAAACCCCCAGAAATAGTTTAGGTCTGAGGTTATTTGCCTACTGACTGCCCCTGAAACTCAGCATGAAAAGTTACGTTCCACTTACGTTAATTTTCAAAAGTGTGGCCTTTCTACGTCCACCTGCAGTAACAAGATCCGATTTATTTGCTACACTTTTTAACTGCACTTACTTTTGTGTCAATGGGGTTGAACTTTACAAATCTCTGTAATGAGATTCACACAATAAAAGTGCATAGGCGAGAGGGCGG